ACCCCTGCTAAGTATTACCTTCCCACGGTCCTCTTTCTCCTCCCCTTTAGAGATGATTGCCTTAGTTTAGGCTTTATTTTTCATGCCTGCAGTATTCTAGTGACCCTCAGCATTTCTTCATTCTGATAAAAAGCATTCATAATTTTCTAGCAAACTTCCTGGATCATGAGCTACTTGGCAGCAAAAATCAGTTCTGCAGTCTGTTGTCTACAGTTCCCAACTATACTGTGCATCAAAACCTTGGAGTAATTGATTGGCTGATGTTGAGATAGGTTCTCATTTATCCTAGGCTGGCCTGGGACTTGATTTGTCATCAAAGGTGACCTTAAACTCTGACCTCCTGCCTCTGCCTTACGTGCTGGAATTACAGGCATTCAAACGCTGTGATACTTGGTTTAATAAGATGAGGAATAGGTCTTAGTATTTACTTAAGATAGAAGAGCAGCATTCTAGAAAAGACTAATAAATAATACAATCATAAGAGATAAACTCAACTTCATTCTGTCTAAAATCAAAGGCAGTCCTGTTGGCCACCCTTAGATTTGAGAACAAAAGCTTGTTTTACCTATCTGTCAAACTGATTAAGTCATACGTATTTGCTTGTGCCTGGTATTTTAATTGTTCTATAATTTAGGAATTTTTTTTAAAAGCAGGCATCTTTCTTGTGTCTATAGAGCTTTTGACTAAGATAATAGAAATACTAGTTTTGTTTTGTTTTTTAAAGTGGGGCTCCCTGGTTGAGCGTTTACCTAGCATTTGTGAGACTCTGGGCTCAGTATCCTTAACAATACAAATTATTATGTTTATCAGGTGATCCACTTTAAAACTAAGAAGGTGGGGTGGCATGTGCAGGAGCCCGCAGAGAGGCAAAGGCAGTGCATATGAATCAAGGTTACGCCCAAAAGTCAGTTTCTCGAGGGACCATTTGCACTCAGATCTTAGTAGCGAGGACCTCTCTGGGACCTGGATGAGCAAGTGAAGATGGTGGCTCTAAGTCACCTCTTGGCTGTCCCTGGAACCTGTGTTAATACTGCTGGAGAGGGAAGAATTGCCGGGGCCGTGCTCTCCCTCTGCTGAGTGTCTCTTGTATTCAGTGGAGAAATATTTTACTAAATCTATTTGCAGTCTGAAAGGTCTCCAAACAAAATGAAATATTCACCAATTACTCTTTGGCTTATTTTTCCCTGGCTCGTCTTTTGAACATCCTAAACTTTATAAATTATTATGTGGACTGAATCGGCTGATGGGGCAGGGCTTCCAGACTTTTGTCGGCATCTCCTGAGAAAGGAATTCACCATTTATGTTACCAAGATTTGCCTCTGACCTTGGATGCATGAAGCCCCGGTTCTATCCCCAGCATTTCCTAAAGGGAGTGTGGCGTACGCCTGCAACCCCAGCATTCAGCGTGTGAAAGAGGAGGGTAAAAATTTCTAGGCTATCTTTGTCTATATAGCAAGCATAAGGTGAGCATGGGTTACATGAGGCCCTATCTCAAAAAAATAAATTATTAAAAAAATCAACTCTTTATAAAATTTGAACTACAAGTGGCTTTTGTGCTGAAAAAGTCTTATAATGCTCTTACGTATATTAATTCTATTTTGGGGGGAGTATTTAAAATAAAGTTAATTCCTCTTTGATATAGTAATTGTTTTTTAAATTTAAAAACTGTAGGTGTGATTTTTACAAATTCAAGATAAACTTAGTAAAGATTCATGAAATTAAAAGGAATACACAAGAAAAAAGATATTTTTCCAGTATCTAAGTATAACTGTTGTTAAAACTTTGATATATCTATTCTCTGTCTTTTTTGTGGCATATTATTTTGACTATTTCTCATAATTTCATTATATATATCACAAGTACACACATATATACTTAATGTCTAGGGTCTATGTAATGACAAATTAGTAGGCACAGTGGGGAATATGTGATTTACAGATTGAGTAGGCAGTGGGTTCAAATTTAATTTCTATGTCTGTTAGCATTTGTTGTTTGTTTGTTTTTGTTTTTTGAGACTGGGTTACTTTGTAGCTTCGGAAACTGTCCTGGAACTCTCTCTGTAGGTCAGGCTGGCCTTGATCTCACAGAGATCTACCTGCCTCTGCTTCCTGAGTGTTGGGATTAAAGGCGTGCACCACAGCTTCTGTAGCACTTATCACCTGGAATCTCTTGGTTCTTGTTTCGTATTCTTGAATATAAAAATATTTCTGAACCCACTCCCCATGGCTGTTGTTAGCATTAATTAATGCAAAATGGTTAATAGAGCATCTAGAATATAGTAAATCCTCAATTGTGGTTAAAATAATTTCACTATTGACATAAAAATGACAAAGTGTAACTGTTTTTCAGGTTAAAAATTCCCAACTCTTCCAGTTTTTTTTTTTTTTTTTTTTTCCATAGGAGGTAGTTCAATCTCTTTATCATTCTGTTCCTGGATCCTGGAGTTTTTCAGTCTTCCACTGGTAACTTTAAATGCTACCCCCAGAGCTGCACAAGGCAGTCTAATCGGCAGAAAACCGAGCTGGACTAATGACGACACCCTCCATTACTTTATGAACGCTCTAAATTTATCTCACAGTCTCAACTACTTCTGTTTTGTTGTTGCTTGCAACCATCACACCAGTGGCTCACTGCCAGGTGAGGCTCCTTTTTGTGCCCCCAGGAGGATTGTTGCTAAGTCACACAGCCTTCAAACCAAATTTAGGCAGTTGGTGTTTTAGTCCCAAGGCAGGCCCACAAAATTACTCTAACCAAATTATATATTATTAAATCTTATGCATCTTTCAGTTGTTGAGAACATTTACATCCTGATTTTATAATCTAATGCACCACCTTCCTTTTTCTCATGAAACCTGTCTGTGACAGGCATGTCTCCTCATGCTTTATCTCTGTCCCTGATGACATGTTCACATGTTCGACATGTTCACATGTTCACATTGTGACAGGCATGTCTCCTCATGCTTTATCTCTGTCACTGAAGACATGCTCACATCAGACGAAGTGAAGGACAAAGGCCTCACTTTGCTGGAGTCTTCTCCAGGTAAACACTCGTTCCTTAGCAAGGAGACTGGGTATGCAATTGCTCAACTAGTTATAAAAACACACTAGCAAACTATCCCTAAACCTGAACTTTTTTCTCACGAGGTTAGAAAGACTACAAATGCCTTGCCAAAATCTACATGTCTCCACCTATCACAAAGAAAAATTGTTTACTAACTTATCTAGGAAATGATGTATAAAATAAAAAATAGATTATTCTTTTTTAGTGCAATTATTTTTTCTAATAATATTTTCAATGATCACAAAGTCTCATATGTCTATAAATGTAATTTAGCTATTCTCCCTTAAACAACACCGCTGTCATAGATCTGAATTCTCAGGCTCTGCCTTTTTTCTCTTTTAACATAAGGAATACTCTTTCTTATGCCTCCTGACAATCCAGATTTGATAAAGGGAACAATGAAAGCTTCCGCCCCATCATTTAGAAGGTATCTGCTAATGATTCACAAAGATCAAGACCTTGTGCAGTCTAGATACAAGGAGGAGGTGGTCCTGCCTCAAAGGTGGGGTGACAGTCTTTGTTGGCTCCTTGTGGGAGGCTTTACCCTCTCTGAGGAGTGGATGATGGGAAGGAGGGAAATGAGTGGAGAGCGGGAGGGGGGAGGGGGAACTGAGATTGGGATGTAAAATACGAAAAAAGATTGTTTAATGTTTTTTTTTAAGAGAGAGACATGATGGCAGCTAGGCCAGGCATAACCTAAGTTCTGTGCTGAGTCCTGTCCCTGACCCTCTTGGTTCACATGCTAGCTGTGCACTTCTGTAGCTGAATGCTTATGGGGAAGTAACTCAGTCATAATGCAAGAGTCATGGGGTTAGTATGGTAATTAGAGCACATAAGTGCTTACTTTCAGTACTGGCTCTCATGTCAAGAATGTTCTCCATTGTCTATGTTATCGGTGCTTTCATATATTTCTCTTCTCAGAAAGCTCGCCGAGCGATCTTGACTCTGTTCACTGCGCTCGTGTTTACTGAGTAGTACTTGGTACATGCAAGGCCTTACATATGCACCAGGGAAAACAGCAAAGTCCCTTTGCTTGTGGAGCTTACACTCCAATGCAGAACAAAAACATTTCAGTGTGTAAAATAGCAGCACCAGCAATTATGAGACTGAAAGTCAAAGGGCAAAAGATGTCAGGGAAAAACGGTTTCCCAGGCGGGGGTCTACGTCCTTTGTAAGCTGAGATAAGAATGAACCAATGGCGAAGAAGCATTGAAGAATGGAAACCTTTCTTTCTTTCTTTCTTTCTTTCTTTCTTTCTTTCTTTCTTTCTTTCTTTCTCTCTCTCTCTCTCTCTCTCTCTCTCTCTCTCTCTTTCTTTCTTTCTTTCCTTCTTTCTTTTTCTCTCATGAATGAATCTGTCTTCAACTTCAAAATCTGCACTTGTTCTTTTGTGGCTGTTCTCCCTGATTCCATGTCATAAGATGGCATTCTTGCTTTTTTCCAGCATCTTCCAGAAGCCCCCAGCTCATGTCTTGCTGAGTGCTTATAGGTCCACACTACCCTCATCCACTCCCTCTTCCTCATATGTTCCCCCTCTTACAAATGCTGCTCGAGATTCAGAGCCTGTCAGCGAGTCCCCGTGCGGCAAGCTGGCTTCTTTGGTTTCCTCCCCGTTTTCCTGCTCATTAGAACCATTTGTGTTTGCATAGGCAGAACACTGTTTAAATCAAACTCGGAGACCGCATGGCTGCTTTCCCCCAAGGTTCCAATCATTTCCATTTTACCTACTGGTTTCTGTCAGAAGTGGGTCCTGAGTAAGAGTCTCCTGAACGCTTACTCTGCCTTCTGGGAAATGAAATTATCAGCAAGGCTGGTCAAGAAATTGTCAGTGCTTTGCTTTCCAAGGAACTCAAGTTTCTGCAGATACCTGGAGACTGAAATCCCCAATGCCAAGATGTGCTGCTGCTCTGTCAAGTTTGTGGTCTGTAGGAGAAAAGAATCCTAGCTCTCCAGGCCAGAAAGACTACAGTGCAGTCCCAAATTCCTATCGTGTCTGGGCTTGTCATTTACATTCACCTAGAATTTTCTCCAGTGTCTCTCCAGCCACGGGTCATTAGACTCAGAGTTTCCAACTAGCAAGGCCCATTCACCAACCTTCCAATCTGCTTGGCCTGACTATAATTAAAATAGAGGTCTAAAAATCAATTAATATTTATCCTATGTTGTAAAGTGCTTGCCAACAAGCAGGAGGTCCTGAGTCTGCTCGTTCTAACCTATGCAATGGTAGGCGGAGGCAGAAAGCAGCTTCTTTATTAACCAATGGTCTTCACAGTTTACAGAGGAAACTGTAATTCCACATCATGCAACAGAGTCAGGGATGGTGCCAGGTGCTCCTTTCCAGTGCTGGGGAGGCTGGGACGGGTAGATAGAGTCCTGGGGCTTGATGGAGTCAGGATACTATTGATAAGTCTGAGGTCAGAGAAAAATCCTGTCTCAACAAACAAGTAAAACTTGACATTGATCTCTGGTCTCCACATACAAACGTGAACATGCACACTTACAAATTAAATTGTGTATGAGACCAAACCATATGACCAGGAAATCAAGACGTTTCCTTCTAGCCTTGATATTGCCAGGGCAAGCCTGAAACACTAGGAAGTACTGGGATGGAGGGTTGCCTCTGAGGCTGACCAAGCCACACACTGGGCTGAGAGCCCTGTGACCAGGTGCTGAGGCGTCATCTCCCAACTGAAGAGCCTTTGAGAAGGAAAGATCTGGAACCTCTATTTTTACAGATGAGAAAATTGTAGCCAGAAAAGGTTAATTGCCTTGCCGAAAGTCTCACACACAGCTCGTTGGGGACAACACCACAGCTCACTCCAACTGTAAAACAGCACCCCACCCCCTTCTTGGGCCGGTCAATTTCATCCACATCGCATTATTCTCTATGAACAGCCTAGAGGGTTGTTTCCACTTCAGCGGCGTGGAAATCGGAATGCCTACCCTCCTACCTCACAAGGCCTGAGAAAACCGACTGAGAGAATAGGCGTGTGGGGGGGTGTATTATGATGGTGATCGTTTTAATAGTTTAACCTCTAGGTTTCTGTGGAGCTTTTCCTGTTCATTGAAGTGATTTGCATTTTAAATTCTACTCTCTGTATTGAAACATGTTTACCCTCTCTCAGATTCACAACAAATTGCAGGCTGCATCCTCTAGGTTTTGGCAATTCCTGAAACCAGGTGTTATTTTACTTCTCTTTGCATTTCTCAGGGGAGGCATGGCAATGCGCCTTCCTTTCAGACTTTACTTTTCTCCTCTGTTCAGGGGACGATCATCCCTTTCCCTCACGGGTATGAAAACCTAAGCTAAGGACACTGTCATATCAGCGGCTGTTTTCCTTGACTTTTTTTTTTTCTTGTTTCCTTCCTCCCTCCAGTCTTCTTGATGGCAGCCGGCATTTATTTATCTTTTATTCCTCGAGTCTATCGAGCCTAGCACTCGCTAGCTGCACAGTATATTTGTTGAATGAATTATTCACCAAGGTGAAGAACACAGAGTGGGACCGAAGGTACAGCATTTTGTAGGTCAACGGGTTTCCACCTCTGAAGAGCAGATAAAGCCTCAGGAAGATGCTGAAAAAGCCGGAGAGGGGACAAGGATGAAGCAAGGCTGGCGTTGTCTCACAAACATAAACTTGTTTCTAATCGATAGATTTTAGGCTGCTATGGGATGCTGCTTTTGGAAGAGAAGCTTTTCTGAAAACTGAAATGAAGACATGTACCAGGATGGCTTATACGCTTATACAGTCTCAAAATGCAGTTGCTTATATTTTGTTTCTGGCTGGGAAAGTTAACTTCGCTATGCCCCTTTACTTTCCGCAGTTTTCCCAGAGCTGATGGGCAGCAGATACCCCAACAACACCTGCCATTTCCACAGTATCCTAGCCCAGTGTACAGGACTTGGATCCAGGCAGCGAGGTACAGCAGAAGCAGGTGCAAGCAGGCCCAACATACCTGGCTTGACTTTTCTCTGCGTTTGGTTCCCTCTGAGCCATACAACTGCCAAAGACTCTACTGCCAAGGCTGAAAAACACACTTAAAAACAACAACAACAACAAAACTCTAGCTCACTATTCGGAAGAACTTATACTTACCGTCTACACATTTCCATGTGGTGATGGGAAACACACGGTCTCGCTGAGATCTAGAAGCAAGCGTCCAGGCCAGAACAACTTCTGCAGCAGGATTAGAAAGAGCAGGCAGAGCTCGAGCCAGGGGCCCCATGCTGGTCTCTCCTTTTACATCCCAGCACTCCTGCCTTCCGAGGGAAGGATTAAATCAGGGTAAACAAGAAAATGTTTAATAATGCATAGCTGGTCCGCTCAGACTTGGGCACCAGTAGATGAAAACAGATGCGTGTCCTAACCCACCAGAGAGCTACAGGGCATGCCAGCAGATATCAAGGGACCTTCGAATGTCTGCCCAGCAACAGATACCTAAGTGATGCTGGCTAATGTTCCTCCCTTGTCCGTCCGCCCACTTTCATACCTGTTAAATCCGGTGGACACACACAGTGGGAACTCCATGAAGAGGTGACTCCAAGTAGCCCAAGAAACCCATTCCATTACTTTATTTCTACAAAATGCCAGTGAGGACACTACTTCTTTTTCTTTCTCCGCACCCCCCTCTGCACTTTTTTTTTTTTTTTTTTTTT